ATAGTATAAATATATATATATATATATATATATATATATATAATAAAAATAAAAGGTTTGAGCTTCATTTACGATTAAAACACCAATTGCATGAATATGTGTAAGTTTCAACTATATTTTATCAACACTAAAAATGAGAATTAGGTTCGAGTAATTTGCACAAGCTCTATTATTTTATTTTTGTTTATATTACATGTATATGTTGTAGTGCACCTAGGAAGCCTTATACACTCGTGTTTTCACATTGATACAATATTATTCACTTTAGCTTAAGTTATTATAGTTTTACTTTTACTCATTACACAAAATGCTTCTCACCAATAGAAACATGTGTGTTTATAAATTTTAATCTTCTTGTTATATCAATGTGAAAATTTGATTGTATCCTAACAATACCTTTTATTAGAAGCAATCATATTCAAGTTATATAGGATTACTAAGAGTGAAAAAATTATCTCCAAATATTTAACATAATTACATACTTGTGACTTGAAATTGAAATCACTAGTTAAGCTCAAAATCCTACAAATTTAAGTCTGATGAAAACATTGTAATTAAAAAACAAAAACTATAAATGTAAGGCTAAAATTAAATGAATAACTATAATTGTAAGGCTAAAACGTGAAATGTTGAACTACAATCCTTCCTTCTAAAGCTCTAGAACAATATTGGGAGTAGTAAGATTGAAAAGAAAAGTAAAGGAAGTGTTGTTGGGGCTGTGTTAGGGAGTCTGGGGTACGTGTCAGGAGATGGCATGACACATTCATCACCATTGAATGAAATTTTTCTAGGAAAAGTCCACCCTTCTTTGAAGCTAAACTCTCCTTCATCTTTATGCAACAACACCTCTGTTTGTACATTCCCATTGACACCATGTGTCAACAACATGTCATTATAGTATGGTAGCCCCCAAAACATTCCTATGTCATCTGAAATTTATACAAAATTAACACAAAATTCTTTGATATTCCATCATATTTTGTTCAATGAAGAATGCTATTAATGAAGTAACTTACTAAAATTTCCATAATTTTGTAGGAGTTGGTAGTTGAAACTAAAAACTTGGGTTACGCTTTGCAAGTTGGGGTGTAACACCACCAAATTCCAATGGGAATAGTTTTTGACAAAGTTGAGGTTTGTGATTGTGATTTTAACCCGCCAATGCTTTCTGTAACTTTGTTTCACATGCCAGTGAATACGAATGGGGCACATATGATGTGAACATCTGATAATTGGTGGTGCTACTTCTCCGCGGTTTGTTTGTGGTAGTTTTAACACTGAAGTCTTGTCAGAACTGAAAATTTTCAAGTATCAAGGACATTAGAATAAGACCCCTTATCCATTAGAAGCCAACTTAGCACTTCATATAACCAAGAGTTTGAAACAAAATATGAAATAAACAATAACAACAATGAATCATACAAATGGATGATGAAGAAACTCCATAAAGAAAATCTTTCATGCATAATTCTATATCAACTCTAGATCTTAGTCATTCCTATCTTTCGATGAGAATAAACTCCTTTTTGTCGGATTATTAAGTGATGAAGAAAATAAGGCAATTTAAACTAGCTAAACACAAAGCTATAAAAATAGGGAAGCAACTTCCAAGCACAAAACAAAAAATTACTTCACACAATCAGCTCCGGGTAGCCCCTGGCAATTACAACTGCATGTTGGGCAAGGAACAATGGTACTATTATAGAATGCAGACAAGGAGACACAACATTTTGGGGCAGGTGATGCTAGAAACTGGGAGTAAATACAAGTCACATTCCATGTCTCTGCAATGAACCACAAAAAAATGTGACAGTTAAACAACATGCTATTGAAATATACATGAACAAATGAAACGTGATGGCATAAAGCACACATAATTTCAACAAAATAAAAACTTTGAAAAAAGCATTGTCAATTGAGATATAGCAAAGCATGAGAGACTTATTTGTTAACAGGTGAAGAACTATTATAATCATGTTCCTAGAGACATGATCAAATGTATTACTTGATTAGCCATAAAACTCAAACTATCTGGGATACATATGCTATGTTGCAAACTTTTAAACTCCAACAAAAAAAAAGGCAAGTCCTTGTTTAAGTTACAAGTTAAAATCAACTTTATAAGGAATGTTTAACTAAAGCATTCAGTACTCACCCAAGACTTGTTGCCATCGATGTCCATCTTTGGTAAACTTGGTTGGCGATACTTGAAATGGTGTCCCACAACTATAGCCAGAAACTCCAAGTGTGAAATTTTCTGGCATGCTAGAATTGGAAGTTGATGCTTTAATGTAATTCATTTGGAAGGTTGCACCATGTTTGGAAACATCTTGTGTCATAGATGTTAAAACCCCTCCTTTACAACAATTTGCAGATTGCATGTTATATGGGGTTCCAGGCATAAGATCAATAATAACTGGCTTTTTCTGACAACAATGAGGTTTCTGTTGTCCTCTAAATCTTGTGCAATTTCCTTCCTCAGTTGCCTCTGCTCCCAACATTGCCCATATCACCTCATCACCTTTCCATGCCCAACCCAATTTCCAACCTGGCTCCTCTATGTGGCGAAATAGTTGGAAGTTGTATATTGATACTTTTACCTACAAGCCATACATAAAATTTGTTAGTACTTACAGGGATGAAATTATGTTACATAGATAATGGTATAATCTCAAATTAACATATTTATCTTTTCGACGCATTGCATAAGTGTTGGGACGATGCTTTGTTCAATTCAAAACAATGCATAAAGAATGATACACAAATGTTTCATTATTAAATGTAATTAATTAAAGGATAAAATTGCATGCAAATAGATTTAGTTCTTTGTTAGGATTAGAGTTTCACTTTCATAATACGAGCAATAAAGAAATTTATTATAAGTAAAACTAGAATTATGATTAAAGAATTACTCCAAGAGTAGCATAGTTATTGTATTTAAGTTTTGTGCTTAATTAAAAATGAAAAAAAAAAAACAAAAAAAGACACAAGCAATCTAGTCGATCCATAAACATGAGTTATGTGACCACAAACCTGCAATAAATGAGTCAAGTTCAAATAGTTAATTACTAGAATGGCATCATATACTTCTAAAGCAACATATAATATGATTTGTTGACGTGGTGTGAAGTGATTGGAAGTAAACCGAGGGAGAGCTAAAAGTGTATTGAGTTTAACGGTAGTTGAACATAAATGCAAGTACACATCTCCATCATCGTTACCTTAAAAATATAGAAAATCCACCGATATTTTGATATACTTTTATTTAGGTATTTATTTCATCCTATTATTGTAATGACATTAAATAGAGTACCCCTTTTTTATTTAAATTCTTAAATTTGTTTGCTAAAAAAAGTAATATAACTTCATCAAATTTTCCCTTCCCCAGTTTAGGTTGAGCTGATTTAGTGCGTGTTCGAAAAATATGTTTAAAACGTGAATTGAATAATAAAATCACGTCGAAATAGTTAAAATTAGCAAAAAATACTTATTATTGCTTCTAAAATATGTGGATCAAATTGAATTTATCGTGCAACTAAACATGTTGTTAGGCAGCCTTCTCAACGGTGATGGTAACCTCACTCAAAAGAGATTTTTTTAGAAATTAGATACAAAATAAAGCAATCAAAAATTAAAAATGCTTACGTCGAATGTATCCCCATTATCTGACAAAAAATCCCATGTGACGGTGATGTTCCCAAAAGGATCCAACGAATCGTATCCATCTGTAATATTCCCAGTCATAAATAAGCAGAAAATTAGTGATTATAAAAAAATAGTAAAATAGAAAGAAAGCTTTGGGGGCTTACAAGAAGATGGAGATATGAAGATGATGATAAAGAAGAATATGAAAATGAAGATGTTGTTAGCCATGAATGACAAAAAATGGGTTCATGTAACGAGATATTTGATCCTCCTTATTCTTCACAAACAAATTTAAAAGAATCGAGTTTGGTGGGACTGTCTTGAAACTTGGAATGCAGATGTAGAAAGCTAGGGAGAATGAAACGCTCAAAAATCACCAAACTCACGTAGTAATGGGAATGCGTACGTGCTCATTAGTTTTCTCTCTCATATAAGAAAAGGAAATTAAGGTTACATTTAATTTATATACTAATACTAAAACTTATATGCAGAATCTTAGAAATCGATTGTGTCAATTTTCCAACTAGAATTAAATTTTTGTTTTATCAAATTAAAATTTTAATATTGATAGAAGAACATAACTAAATTATATACTACATTTTTTAGTATACCATGAACATATCACATACATGTTTTCATTAACAATGCATGATATACTTTACATCTCATCAATACATTCTTAAATGTATCAATAGAAATATTGATCGTATTGATTTTTCAATTAGAATTAAATTTTTATCTTATCAAATAAAAATTTCAATGTTGATAAAAGAACATCATCGAAATATTTACTGCGTTTTCGAGTATACAATCAACATATTACATATATGTTTTCACTAACAATGTATGATATACTTCACATCTTATTAATACATTCTTAAATGTATCAATATAAATATTAATTGTGTCGGTTTTTTAACTAAAATTAAATTTTTATCTTATCAAATTAAAATTTCAATGTTAATAGAAGAACATCACTCAATTATATACTACATTCTCGAGTATACCATCAACATATTACATATATGTTTTCATTAACAATGTATGATATACTTCACATCTCATCAATACATTCTTGAGTGTATCAATAGAATTATTCATTGTGTGATAGCCATTTGTAAACTTAATTTTTTATCTCTTAAATATGTTTTTAATTTACTAAATAGGAAGATTTTTTTCATTTTTTTATAATCTATTACTTTTTTTAAAAAAAATCATATCATTTTTTCAATTTTTTTATTTTGTCTACAAAGTTTTTTTTTTAATTTATCATTTAATGTATTTAAATATCATAATTTTTATTTGACTTATTTTCATAAAATATACAAATATTTAACAGAAAAAAACAAATGAAATATTATATATAAATAATTAAAAATGAAGATTAAATTATATTTTAAAAATATCAAATAAAAAGTTGTGATATTTAAATATTAAAAACATATTCAAGATTTTTTTATTGGCTTTAAATTTTTCTTTCGTAATCAACGAGTCACCATATACAAAAAAAAAAACTATTATAATTACCACAAAAGAGATGTTAATTTAGTCCTAAATGTCAATTTACTCCCAAGTTTTAAAGTTAGTCCACTTATTCCTACAATAATGGCTCTAGGGATTTCAGTGCGCACACAAAAAATAAAAAATAAAAATAATAGCCTAAATACTTTTTAACTCACCTAATGAGATAGCTCAAAATTCTCAAGATGGCTAGACCACACATCCCACTTAATAAGTGAGTTGGGACAAGATTTAATGGGGTCAAACCACGCATTGTGATTATTTTATAATTATTTTATCTTAGCTATTTTAAAAAATATTTTCCATTTGATTTGACTTCAATCTTCACATTCAATTTGGCTTCAGTTAGGGCATCTTCAACTTGACCTTGGTGGAGACATCTTATCTTAACTTCATCCAAGACCTTTTTAGCTCAAGCTAAGACAACTTTCCCATGACCTCAACTAAAACATCTTCAATGTAACTTCGGCGAAGTCAACTTTAGCTTGACCTTGATTAGATAATGTTTGGGTCAACCTCATCCATGACATTTTTGGCTTGGCCTAAACAAGGACATTTTTTGCTTCGTCTTGGCCATGACATCTTCGAATTGGCCTCAGCTAGTGCATCTTCAACTCATCTTTAGCTCAGCCTCATTAAGTAGGACATTTTGGGTTCGACCTCAATGTGAACATCTTTGTTTTCAACCAAGACATATTCAATTCGATCTTAACTCAAACATCTATTGGACATATTCAATGTGCTAAACACTTATGTCTCAACCTTGGTTGTGACATTCAACTTGACCTCAGTTAGATAATCACGTTTTCAGCTCGTTCTCACCCATGACACTTTTGGTTTGGCTTTGGCTAACACATAATCAATTTGGTTTCGATTAAGGATATTTTTTGTTCAACCTTTGTTGTTAGCTACGATATCTCCAACTCAATTTTGATTAGTAACTAACCTCGACCATTAGCCTAGAAAATCTTAAGTTTTAGCTATGACATTTTTAACTTGACATCAACTAGGACATCTATCAACTAATATGAAAATTTCTTGATTTTATAAACTATTATGATAGAATCTTCAAAATTGTTTAGGGGGCTAAAGTGAATATTTACTCCAAAAAATAATATCAAAAATCAATAAATTACCACATTAATTATCTTGATCCTGCACTAAGCCACCAAACCCTGCTTCTCTTAGATTTCCTTGAGCACTACCATCCACGTTAAGGGCTACCCAAGGAGACTTCGGTGGCTCAGTCACATGCCTCTAGAACTGTGATGTTATCAGTCCAATTCTACTCCTTTCAAAAGCACATTGAATATGAGCGTGCCATGCTTGAATTGTCGCCACTTGAGAAATGATCTCAGCCTCTTTTCCTTTAAACACCAGTTTATTACTAGAAATCCAAACTGCCCACGAAGTGATAAAAACAATACTACCATATTTGGACCCCAGATTAACAAGCCAATCTCTCATTGTCTAATTATTCTACGGTTGTTCATGAAGCCTATAACCCAGACTCAGCCAAACTCTATAAGCATGCACATAATGTAACAAGTAGTGAAGCATGTATTCACCATCATGCTCACACCCTAGACATGTGTTGTCCAGAATTATACCCTTATGTTGTAGTATGTCACATGGTAATGAATCCCAACATAATTGCCATATAAAGAATTGAATATTAGCTGGTAACCTTGTATGCCAAATCCACTTCTAACCATGTGAAAAAGGAGCCTCTAGTTGAGCTAGAAGACCGAATGCTTCCCAGAAAATCCTTGGTTCACGTCCATAAATCTATAACCCCATTTACCAAGTTTACTGGCAATGTAGAGATCTCCTTGCGAATCTCGTCAGGGATTGAAGTAGCCATCTGGTCTAGTCTCCATACCTTTTCCCTACACACATCAACCGCCCTCAGATCCCTATTACCAATATGAATACAAGGATTCTTGCACCAAGAGGTGCCTTATCTAGCCATAAATCAAACCACACTCTATTGGATCCATCCCTCAACTACAACTTGAAACCCTCATCAAGCCAAGATAAAACCTTTCGCAACGAACTCCACACTAGAGAACCCACCATTTTACCAGCCAAAAATAGATGTTTCTCTTTCAGATACTTGCATTCTACAATCTTGCAATTCTGACACCCAGCCCATCCCTACTCTTTGATTTGGTAATATGTTTCCAACCTACCAAATGAAGACCTCTTTCTCCACTTCCCTTCCGAGTAAAATTTTTGCAAGACTTATCCAAGAAATGACAAATCGATTGTGGAAGCCAATTTAGCCGTATTTTTGATAAGTAGGGATTATGGACAACATAACATTCATAAGTGCAACCTTGTCAGGTTTATTCAACAACCTACCCTTCCAAGAAGCCAACTTAGACGTCATCCTCTTTATAATTTGGCCATAATCCCCCCTCTGACTCCTTCCACTTATCCTGCAAAATCCCAAATACTTCATCAACCTGTTTAAACTTGATATTCATAATACTAGGTAACTTTTCAACCCTATTTCTCGACATAGCTTTGGCCGTGAAAACCTGTGACTTATCCAAATTTACTTTCAACCCTAAGAGCTCGTAAAATTCATTCAATACGTTTATAATAAGCCTAGCTTGAGATGGTTTCGCCTTAGCAAATAAAAGAACATCGTCAGCAAAAAAAAAATAACATCGTCAACCTTCCCTGTGGCATCTGAAAGGGAAACCAATGGCTACTATACACCTCCTTCATAATCATAACACCCAATCTCTTCATACATAGAACAAAAAGATATAGAGAGAGTGGATCCCCTTGGTACAGGCCTATTTTTGGAAAAAATAATTCAATTTACTGCCATTCCACAAAAAAGAAATTGACGTGGCTATGACTCTATGCATTATAAGAAACACTATGATCTCCGAAAACTCAAAAAATCCTCAATGTTTGCTTTAGAAACTACCAATCAACCTTATCATATGCCTTCTCTAAGTCTAGTTTTAAGATCATACACCATTTCTTCTACTTGGATCTCTTCATCAAATACATCACTTCCTACAACACAATTGTATTATTTTTTGTACCTCTCCTAGAACAAAATTGCTTTGGATAGGGATGACCATGTCAGAAAGGAATGGCCTCAATCAATTTACTAAAAATTTGGAAATTAATTTATATACCATATTGCACAATGATATGGGTCAGAATTTCATTAACTTTGTCGAGTGGTCTACCTTAGGTATCAATACTACCAAAGCTTTCGCAAGCTGCAAATCAAAGGTTCCCATTTGGAAAGTCTCACTTACTAACTTCCACACATCATCCCCAACCACATGCCAAAACATCTTAAACAATATAGGTTGAAATCCATCTGACCAAAGGGCCTTATACCCTTTCATACCCATCAACATTTTATGCACCTCCTTTTTACTAATTGGCAGTAATAAAGAAGATCGTCCCTCTGACAAAAAGTTTGAGACATTAAGGAAGCACATATAACAAATGTCATTAAAGATTGCCAAGGAGCAACAACTATGGCTGCAAAACTAAAAAAAGAAAAATAATATATACATATATATATATATAACCTTCTTGTTGTGTATGACAAAGAACATGTTGTATTGTTGACAGTTCCCTAACCAAACTAATTACAAGCCTAAATGTTTATATAATTCCATAGTTTCTTTCTGATATTCACATGTTTCATCACAAGTTACCTAACACGACAAAGATGGATTGTATAGAGTTATTGAAATGAAATAAGAGTAACATAATAAAGATCTAAATTGATAATAAATATTTACATGACTTTTTCTTATAATAAAGAGCCAAAAAATGATTATTAATAACCATTATTTTACGGCAAAAGAACTTGGTTTCTTAACAAAAAATCTCAAAATAAAAAATGAAGCTATATTTTTTAAGAAAGATATATTTACCTTCTTCAATCAACTTTCTAATAAGTTTTTCCTATAATAGAGTTTTACAAATTAGAAAAAGGGGTAAAAAGACATTTTTTTAAAAATTTGTATATTTTAAGCTTACTTTTCAAAATATTAAAAAAAATTATATATTTTTAACAATCGTAGTGTGTTCATCCATATAGAAGGGGTCAGGTCACTCATGTGTCCAAGCAGACAAAAAATAGCATTCTAATTTGACACTTGAAGAGAAGTGTTTAACACATGTCAAACAAATGCTAACTAGGTGTCAATGTCCGAAATGTGTCCAGTATTGTAACGTATTAGATAGAAAAGGAGTTCGTGCTTTACATGTAATTATTAGATAACTGCAACTTTCTATATATCTATACAAAGTATCAAGTATACATCAAGATTACTAGCAGAGAGGATTACAGGTGCCAGCACATCCATGCATGCCCTTATGTTATGTCTAAGTAAAAATATTCAAATTGCACATACCATGTTCTTTCAATGTCTTTGGATTAGAAGATTCCCTTCCACCTCGCTTTGGGTCAGACCGAGCAATACTTAGCTTCTTTCCAATTAACTTTTGCTTGTTCTTAGCAATTGCAGCAGCAAGGTGTTCATCATCCATGAAGTCCACATATGCTAGTCCCTTCATTAATATCAAGATAAACATATGTGACTTATGGTATGATCAGTGAATAGCCATATAGCACTCATTTGCTGCGGTGTAACATGGCCTCAGCTGAACTAGTAACTAATGTTTGTATTACTTGTTAGATTCAAGTGAATTAAAAAAGTCCCACATGGGAATAATGGACTAAATGAGGATGAGGACCATATAAGTGGAAAAAATGAACTTAATTCCTTGAGGTTTTAAATCAGGTATGGTGTTAACTCCATAAGTATGGTTACTAAACCCATGGAATGTGACCTCCCCACTGTTTTGTGCTCCCCCTGAACTAAAAGTATTTTTATTATCAACAAAATGACAGGTAAAAATGTAAGCCAAATCCCTGAAATAGCAAGGTTATGGAACTGAAGGCAACACTCCAGCCCATACACCCAACTAGGGAAACCAACATGGGGGCTTTTAACATATTGAAATCCATTTGAAGTTTTATAGTTGACAAGCAGTTTACTTTCTAAATCAATTTAGGCTAAAAAAATAAACAAACAGTAAGAAATAAGTCATTTGATACCCTTGATTTTCCAGTGAATTTGTCATGCAGGATCCGTATGGCAACAATTCCACCAACATCACTGAAGAAATTACGAATATGTTCATAATTTGCCTGCAATAACACAAATTATTAGTCACAGAAACACATAAAGATAGAGTCTAAGAATACTATGTTCATAATTTGCCTGCAATAACACAACTTATTAGTCATAGAAACACACAGAAATAACGAGGCTAAGAATACTATCTACCGTAGGATGAAGATTTGATATAAAAGCAGTGCAGTGATCAGAATATGCTCTGTTTTTTTCGTGGCTAAACTGTTGCTCACTTGGGTTATCATCAATTTTAGTATTCTTCCAATTGACCCCTTCCACTTTTGTCACCTGAGAAGAGTTCTGCACTTGATGTTTATTCTCCTCAGGTGCTTTCTCTGGATTTCCAACATCTCTAAGTCGCTTGTATGAAGACTGTTCTTCAGTTATATCCGACCCCATCTTTCTCTTTTCACGAGCATTTCTCTTTGTATTCTTTTCACTTTCCTCTGCCGACTTGGATTCCTGCT